CCTGTGGTCCCAGCTACTTGGGAAGCTGAGGCAGAAGACTTGCTTGAGCCCAGGTTTTGGAGGTTGCTGTGAGCTGTGATGCCACGGCACTCCACCCAGGGGGATAGCTTGAGGCTCTGTCTCAAAAAAAAAAAAGAATGTCTACTATGCATTTAGGCAACAAAGAGCCAGTCAGAAATTTTAAGAGGGACAGAACAATTCCAGTTCCATCTTAAAGGGTATATCCTGTGCAGGATAGTCTATATACAGAAAGACCTATTTTCAGATCGACACAATGGACCGGAGACCAAGTTTTTTTAAAAATACACTACTGGTATTGTACTGTGTATATTATTTAGGACTTTCACTTAATAAATCTTAAACATTTTTTGTCACGCCATTAAATATTCTTCTAATATCCTAAGGAATGATATTGGAAGACCAACGTGTGACCAATCCCCTGTCTGTCAGACAAGGGGATTTTGAATTGATTATAAGTACGGAGTTTATAAATTAAAATCTGTAGTGAATATTCTCATAATTCAATAAAAATCTCTCATTTGAAATATGCATAATTTTTATGAGAGTAAAGCAACTAATATTAAAAACCCAGCACTGGGTCATGAAAGTATTTGCCATTTGTTAATTCTGAGATAATCTCATCACAATCATAGTAAAGGTCCAGCCTTGGTTCTATATGGATCTGGGCAAGTCCCCAGAATGTCATTTCCTCAACTGTGAAATGAAGAGGCTATATTATATCTAACACAGCTTCTAAGAGCCCCAGAGCCTATGCTCTTTTTCAAACCAGCCAAACCTTCATTTGAAAACAGTAAAAGTTGTCTTATCTAGGAATGGCTGTCCGTGCCCTTAGCATTTCTGTTACTTTGGTTGTAATTTTTTTCTGCTCCATTCCTGCCACTTTCTTCTCCAGAGAGAAGAGAGAATTTTAGGAGTATTCAAGTCCTACATTATAATAAAAGCAAAGTAACAAATCTGACAGAAGTTAGAAGAGGTAAAGATAGAACAAGAAAAAGCACTAGAACAGAATAAGGGACTGAACAGTTAAACAGTTATGCCTGTTTGAGAAGGAAGTCATCATATTTACTCATAAAGCACAATTTCGTTTTCTATCTAGTGTGTAGGGGGGTAAGAAAATAAAGGGTACATTCGCATATGCATATCTGAAGAGATCTGGCAAAGAGTTCCAAACAGTTCTTGCTATTCTTCCAAAATGTAGAGTTGTGGTTTAAATCTTGTTTGGTTTAGGGAATAACTGCTGAATGTCCCATTCGATGTTATGGTGTCTTTTAGGCAGCAGGGTGGAGGGTTAAGTGTTGACAAGTTGAACGCAGTGAGAAGCAGACAGATGGCAGACAGATGTTGCTGAGTGGGGGAACAGAATGAATGCTGAGTCACTTTCCTTCCCTTCTGGAACCCGGGGAAGCAGCTAATTGCTCCTTGCTGCTCTTTTCTCTGTGAAAGTGAAGACAAAGCTTACCCAGCTCTGTGGGGATCCACAGGAGAACATACTGTCTGAGGGCATAAATAAGGAATACTCCTTACAACCTCAAAGCTCTAGTCATGGGAGTCATGGACCAAGGCTTCTTGGAATGTAAAGGAACTACATAGGGAAACCTTTTTCTCAATGACTGGACTGATAAATAGATAAAATAATTACTGTGAGCTAAAATAAAATCTTAAGCCCCCCAGCTGACTGAATGGACCCAGTCTTGGCCAACAGGATCCCATACATAC